GTCATGTTAAGGTTGGATCAATGAACCCTCCCCCCTTTTTTCGTGGGGGAGAAGGTGGTCTGCAGGATAAGGTAGTTGTAGGTGGCCGCTCTGCGGGATTGAGGCCGCATCCGAAATTGAAGATACAATATGTATCGGGCTGGAATTGAAATATCAACTGTGGTTTTGGTAAGAACGCGTCGTACTAGTTGGGGGTGGTCCCGCAGGCCTGTGTCAGAGTTTAGAACCTTTTTGTATTGGATGCCGACGAAGTGCCTTAGACTCGGTAGTAATTAAACCAACGTGAACATGAATCTCTGGTAGTCAACTGAAAATCGGGCGTCTTTAATCAGAGCGGCTAGTTGTCATTAATGATGTGCGGACAGTCTTGATTTCGATCTTGAACCTGTAAATGGAGCCAAGTCTTTCAAAGGCTTCCTGGAGCTTCAACGTTAGTCTGGGGGAGGGTAGCTTTATGTTGGTCCTTTGTCCAGTAAAAGTAAGCGAGTTTCAGTCTGGCGTTGGCTACGCCAGCAACCGAACTCCGAAAAAGCAATGGAAAGAACACTGAACACAAGGGCCCCCGGATTCCTGAAGGAGACGCCGCTGCTTGGATGGATGGTCTGGGGAGTTCCTTCTGACATTTGTCCTTTGGACTTTTGAGTGGGCCTGAGTTTACCGTTTAATTTAATGTCTATTTAACTCCTCATTTGATTCATTGTTCCTGTGCTTCGTTCTAAGCCACATATTTTCATGCAAATTACCCTGAGCTACTGTTTTCAACGTTCAGGACAAGCTTCTAACTTTGAGCTAAAGGGCTTCCGGACAGGCCCCTGGAAGACGATCTTTTTCTTGAAGCCCCGTTGGTGGTGGGAGTGGCACTCTGCCGGCCAAAGGACGGGGGCGCGAACTTCGCGACCTCGAGGCCGGCTCTACCTCGTGCTCCAAAGGGTGGCTTGGCTCCGCTGATTGGCTCCGCTTCTTCCGCTCTTGCTGCGCCTTGCGCCGTTCTTCGGCCCGCTGCTCCTGAAACGCCAAATAAAATGGCTTGGTCCCTGGTCCAGCAGATAAGACATGGACCTCCCAACATGTCAACGTAGCAAACATAGGAACCTCCATGTCAAAGATCGCACACCAAAACGTTGCCCAAATAGTTAGATCTTTAACCGAAGTGGGGAAACAGCTGTCCAAGACCTTAAAATGGAAACACATTTAAATGGACAAGGTGAAACTCAAGAGCTGAGGGGGAAAAACACACGTACAACTTTCCAAGCCAAGTCTGAAAGGAGACGCCCAAGGATAATAATAAAAAATGCTTCGCCCCTGGGCATGTTTTCTTTGGCAACCCTTCGGTGTTCTGGAGCCGGATGATCCTTTGGCCCCTTGGCGGGCCTTGGCAACCTCTAGAAGTTGATCTACACTAAATCAGGTGGGGAGAACATTTCGAATTTGTATACCACTCCGTTCAGCCGAAAGCACCCATCAAATGCGCACTTTGGCTTCAATTGGAATACTGTCCTGACGTCCGGGTGGCTTAAGCTGGGCGAGATGATCATTTAAAGGGTGCGACCAGTGTTCAGCTGAGGATTTATTAATTCTGGGCTTTGAGTCAAGGGGAGGCAATATGGAGTCTGGAGCTTGTCTAAACACTGGCCGGGATTAAAGCAACAGGGGCAAAACTGAAGGATCAGATCTTCACATTTGAATCAGAGAGCTCGGTTGCTTTCTGCTCCCCTGCTAAAAGAGAAAAACCTTTAGGGGTTTAATGGAAAACCCATTAGTTGGCATAAAGTCCTAGCATCCGAGCAAAATGCACCAAAGTAAGAAAACAACAAAACTGCGGCCGAAAGAAGGGCAAGGTGCTATCTCCAGCAGAGCTCTCGTTCGCGGCCGGGATATCCGCGAGGCCCGAGCTGCGCTGGAAGTGTCCGGCTGCACCTCCGGCTAAGGTTCTGCCATGGGTGCTAGGTCACGGCCCTCGAAGAAATATCCAGCCCCTATTGGTTTCCTTGCAGGACAATTTAATTGAAACCCGTTGGACATTTTGTGGGCAATTTGCACCCAGCAACTGGCCCTGGCTATTTGCCCCGGTACGTGACGTGGCGATGGGTGACGTCCTACCCAGCGTGGCGAAACACTTCTAGGAACCCAATCTAGATCAACCACTTCCTTATTCTCACTTGCCAAGATCCGGAATCATAAAGGAAGAATATTGGCTACAGGAAATCCAGAGATAACGACAAACCGTCGATTGGCCTCGTCATTCAGGACACCGTTCGGGCAAACCAGTTCCCCTCCCAAGGCAAAATGTGGGCCCCCCTGACATTTTCCCTGCGCCATTCCAGGCCAAATGTGGGAAGGGTTCCTTTGGGGCCAGGTACGCGCCGCCCTCATGCCCGCTTTGGCAGGCTTCTAGCCGGGGGGAGGAACCCTTCCGTCCACTTCCACTATTGGAAAGATAATCATGTTGGGTGTGATGAACAAACCTGGATTTTTACACCACAATCAAAGTCACGTGAGTGGTAGGTTGCGTCCCTTCATTTCGCCATCGGCCTCCGCAGGCACCGCAGGCACCGCAGGCACCGCAGGATCCGCAGGCCCCGCAGGCTCCGAAGAAGCTGAGGCTGTGCCCGCTGGAGGCTCAGCGTCCGCCACCGAAGGGGCCACTTCCTCACTTGGCTTACGCCCATTGGCGTTTTCTGCGCCAATGAGAACCACATCATGCCCATGCGGCCTTGAAAACCGACAATAAACCACAAACAGGCACATACATACGTGTATATACATATATACAAATGCGTAATCATAAACGCATACCCCAGCCCTATTTTGGGCTAGATGAGCCTTGTGGGTTGGAGAAAAAAACAGATCTGGTCCGTTCCCTTCCTGTGGGCGCGTTCCTGAGGGTTGTACGGCACGTCCCTTTGTTGAACCTGCTCCCCTCTCTTTCTTTCCAGGAGTCAGTGCTCGGTTGCTTTCTGCTCCCCTGCTACAAGTTTATGGTTTAATGTAAAATCCATTGGTTGGCAAAAAGTTAAAGTCCTAACATCCAAGCAAAATGTACCAAAGAGCAGTCTCGCCATTTTAGGCTCACTCTGGCCATGGATCAGGATGTATGGCTCAGGGCATGGTTTGGACCAAGGTCTAGCGCCTACAGCTATATAGAGACCCCTCCCTCTGTCTTGAAGTCAGTCAAATTGGTTGCCATGATCTGCCACGACCTTTTGTCCCATCTGTTGGTGGACCACTGCCTGCTCGTTCCCTCAGAAGCCAGCCAAGGGATCTTCAGTTGATGCGGGCTCAAATTGCCCGAGAGTAGCCAAGGATTTGATTTGCAATTGAATCAGCGATCCTCACTTTCCGAGTGGATTGGGAAAAGAAGTTTCACGATATCTCACTTACCACGAACATGATCTTCCCAAAAAAGCATAAAGTCAGGCACCTCTGGCCCGACCCAGGGCGTGACCACAGCAACACACACGACCCAGCAAAAACAAGAAGAGCGCGAAGATAAAGTCCAGGAACTCAGTTAGTGAGGATCCTGTCTGGGCTGTTCAAAATGGATCCCAGGAAAGCCACAAAAACCAACTTGCGAAACCAAAGGTGGCGGTTCCAAAATGGATCCCTTTTACTGAAGCCACAGGGACCAGATCCTTACCGAAGGCAAGGATTAGGAAATACCTTTGAGCAGCTGTGCACAAATTCTAGAGCTATGGACCTGCCTGGGACTCTTTCAGCTGCGCCAGAAAGCGGCTCGTCTTGGCCGCCACAACCTGGCAAAATGTAACTTTACAAAGGTGAGGCACACTGATCTTAGGGTTATTTAGCGTGGTTTAGGGATATTTGGGGTAAGACCATATTTTCACACATATGAATTATATTAATACAATGATACCACTTCGATACTCATATTCAACGGTGTATTAATCATGTTTCGCCCTTCGGGGTTCAGACGGGTTTATCAGACCTGGGTTGTGGCCAATCTGGGCAGCACGGGTCCGGAGAGAAAAACAATCCCCCCGCCCCCCCCGCCGCCAGCTTCCAGCTTCTCCTGCGCCTAACGCCCTTCCACACTTCGTGTCCCACATCTGGGGTCCAAGTATCCCTTTTTTCAGATTCTACCCTCCCACCAACTAACATATATTTCCATGAAACCTGACGGGGGTCCCTCTAAAAGGAAAATGATCTTCCAGGACCCCCCTGTCAGGTTCCATGTTCATTGCTGGGAGGGCAATTCATATTGCGCCTGAAAAATCGATTTGAAAAATCCGGATCTTGCTTGAAGAATCGATTTGGCAATTCATATTTGCCTGAAAAACCGTTTTGGAGAATCCCGATTTTGCCCGCCTCCAGCTCCTCCTCTCTCCTCCGCTGTTGCAGCGCCAAACACCACCCAAGCCACGCCTTGCGGCTCAGGCGCTGATGGCGCCGAGTGCGCGCCGCAGAGTCGAGGTGCTGCTGTTGGCGCTGCTGCTCCAAGTGAAGCGCCGCAGACTCGGAGCGGGCGAGGGGATGCGTGGCTCTCATTCCAGCTATACATTTATTTTTCGGAGCTGTGAGGTGGATTCACGTCTCCAAAACAAGCCGGAATCAAAGCCAGGTGTGGCTGTTCTGAAGTCAGGTGTAGCTGATGTTTTTTTTTTTTTTTTAAATCATAGTTGTGGATTCTCATGTCTACTACCTCATATTTCAGGTCTCATTGTCAGTAGCAGGTACAAACGCCTCATGCGCTGAGGTGACCAGCCTCTTGGTCACGGTTTTTCGATCTACGCCCGTTGCTTGCACGTACAACACCACAAGAACATATCGAAAGTCAGGGAGTGGAACCGATCCTTCCAGTCTGGGTGAATTATAATATTTCACCAACCTGAAACTTGCGGTGGTTGGGGCTATTCCAACCACATAAACCACCATTTGGGGTGTGGTCGTGTGAGGTCGTTATATTCACCCAGTTCCAGTTGCTTCAGTCGCCTGCAAAAAATCAGTACTGATAGATGCCCTTTGAAACCGAGCCAAATAATCGTATTGTTCATGATGTTTGAGAGGCCCTAGTTGCGCAAGCACCCAAGTGTGTTTGCACTACTCAGATTCCTCCCCCAAAGGCAGCAAGAACCTAGGGAACGTGCCTTTTGCGCATGTCCCTTAACTTTCCATTAGGCAGCCTCTGAAGTGCTTTTAGGTAACCTGATGAGGCTCTGGAGAGAAGAGGCTTGCGAGAAGGCGTACATGTCTAGAGTCTTACTGTTTTTTTGGCATGGTGGTGCTTGCCTGGTTTCGGGTAAGCGCCCCCCCCAAAAGCTAAAACAACGAACTCCTCCAAAGAGGCATCAAACAGGGATCCGGATGCATTATACACCTGAACATTGCCTTGTAAATGGTGGTTTCCCTTTTTTTGGTGGAAAAAGCCATGTTTCAAATGGGCAAAATGTATCTTTGAAGGAGCCCTGTCAAGCGCCTCCCGAAAGAAGAGCCTGCCACAAGCAGAGTTCTTTTTGAGGACCGCTGCAGGCACCCCCCCCCCCCACGTTGCCAGGAACCCAAAGAACACGTGATCTAAGCTTCCAAACCACACCTTTTCCAGAGACACTGATCCAGGGTGGTGGTGGTGGTGGTGGTGGTGGTGGTGGTGGTGGTGGTGGTGGTGGTGGTGGTGGTGGTGGTGGTGGTGGTGGTGGTGGTGGTGGTGGTGGAGTGGTGGTGGTGGTGGTGGTGGTGGTGGTGGTGGTGGTGGTGGTGGTGGTGGTGGTGGTGGTGGTGGTGGTGGTGGTGGTGGTGGTGGTGGTGGTGGTGGTGGTGGTGGTGGTGGTGGTGGTGGTGGTGGTGGTGGTGGTGGTGGTGGTGGTGGTGGTGGTGGTGGTGGTGGTGGTGGTGGTGGTGGTGGTGGTGGTGGTGGTGGTGGTGGTGGTGGTGGTGGTGGTGGTGGTGGTGGTGGTGGTGGTGGTGGTGGTGGTGGTGGTGGTGGTGGTGGTGGTGTGGTGGGTCCTGACTTGTTCACCCCACCTCCAGATTGCTGCAACAAATAGGTTGGCTTTGTTCCCATGTGTCAAGGAGCCTTGCAAATCCTGGTCTTGACTTTACCATTTGGCGCCACTTTGAGACCAGTCAAAATGAAGCCGAGTTGGTTCGCTTGCTGTCTGGTTTGCTGGTTGGTGGGCTTGATTGGCTTGCTTTGCTTCGCTTGGCTTGGCGTGGGTTGCTTGGGATGCTTGGCTTGCTTGCCTGCTTCCTTGCCTTGCCTGCCTGCTTGCCATTGACTCACTGTTTGTTAGATTTATTGCCTGATTGGCTGAGTTGCATGCTTGGTTGACTGACTTACTTTTTTACTGACCAACTGACCCGACCGACCAACTGACTGGCTGGCTGGCCGGCTACCCGTCTGGCCGGCTGTCTGCCTCTCTGACTCGCCGATTGGTTTGCCTTAATTCCCGAACTTCAAACGCGGTGCTCTTTCCGCCACCGCGTTTGCCACGGCTTCGCGCCAAGCATGGGCGCAGCTGCACAAGGTGAGCATGGCTCGCTTGCTGGCAACGATGCGCTCCTGAGAGGAAAGACTTGCTCGCGAATAGAAACATGAGGCTTTTTGCCAGTGCCCTTTTCGGGTTAGCTTCAAGGGGAGTCGCAGGGAACCGCCACCATCTTTGGCACGTACTCACGAAGGAGATGGGACACCATACTTGGGGGAGAACAAACTTCCGACATTGTCCATTTTGGTGTGCGCGTTTGTCATGAGAATGAGCCATGGCATATCTGATTTTCAGGGCGCCCCCTTTTACAGGTGGCTGTGTTTCCCTTCTTGACTGGTTCAAGGATTGCCTTCTTCGCCATGTTGATTGACTTCTCCTTTGGGGAAATGCTTTTTAAAAGGGACATTTTTATGTCCAGGCGCGTGTGCGGTTTCCAGAAAAGCCCTTTGCTTTGGTTTTTACAGGCAAGCCGGCCAGCAATCGAGGAGAAACCGATCCTTTCTGGGAGAGGCTCTGCTTCTGAGTCTTCAGATGTATCTAGATGGAATTCGCTCGCTTCCAGAGGAGGTGCAACCCCGAATCGTTGCGATGCGGACTCCAACGAACCTCCGGCCACAGACCCGCTTTGAAAGACGAGGGACGCAAGTCTCTGGAAGGGTCTTTGTTGCTGGGGGGAAGTACTCTCCCTCACGCTAACATGGAAGATCCCTGAAGGCCTCTGTAAATGAACCAACTCTGTCTGGGGGAGGGTATTTGTCAGAAGTATTAGTCAACTTCCATCTGGTTAAGCCCCCTGGAAGCAAAAACATTTTTTTATGTTAACACCAACAAGGGAAAATAAAACCTATTCTTAAGCTTACATGGAAGTCAAGGGCTGGCAAAATAGATCCGCTCACAGACCCCGGTCCTTTCGCTGCAGCGCCCTGCTGGCCTTCTGCAGTTGCTGCAAACCAAAGTGGCACGATGCCCAGCCAGTGCGCTGAAACCACGCCTATCCGGGCAAAAAAACAAGCGAGCTGGTCAATAGAGAACTAGATTGGAATTCGGACCCCAGCAAAAAGAAGAAGCTTTTTTGCCTGGTTAGTGGAAAACAAAGGGACCCCAAAAAAGAAAAAAAAAAAGAAGGAGCTAATTCTGGGGAAGGAGAAATGCCAATCCCTGACTATCAAGCGTCCAACACTTGTACCCCTAAGGGGTATTCCTATTGATCACACCATCGTGGGAATCCGTATGTACACCATTCACAATATGACCATGTGCATGGCTCACCAACAAGTTGTACTGGGTATGATTCAAGGTTACCTCCCCCGTTTGCAATCCAGGGGTAAGTGGTTGAGCCCTTGGACCATAAGAACTTCACGTCGGCTCATGGTGCGGGACTTTCATCTGTGGGCACTGGAAAACGGCTCAAATGCAGCGTCAACAGGCATGACGTTTGTTTCGGATCCAGCCAGCACGAAAAACAAACAACGAACAACGCTTCAAAACTAAACTGGACCGAAACTCAGTTGCCCAAAGGACCCAGAAATCAACAGAACAAAAAAAAAAAAAAAAAACATGTTGGGATCTTTATAAGCATTGGACCCAAAACAGGAAAGGTCAAAAGCTCGGTCTTGAACAACTACGAACAGGTTCTGCCTGGAACAGTGAGGGCGAGAAATCCTCCTTGCTCATTGAGGGAAGGTCCCGACCTCTTGTCCGCCCCTCTCCCCCCAATCCCTTGGCGATAAAGCGCGACGGCAAAGCGCTTAGATATGGTAAGCACAGTCCTGACTCAATTTCTATGCATTTCTACGCAACAAGTGCTTGTGGTTATTTTCCCAGGCCTCTACACTTTCATGGAACGGCAACTTGAACGAGCCTCAGTCCTTCTCATCTAAACGGGCATAAGTCTAATAATGGACATCACCTACACGGGTCCGCCAACCATTTTTTGTGGTTCCTTGGAACTCGGAACTACCCCGTGCCCCTCTCTGAAACAGTTCTGGCATAGCCGGGCTGGAGCCATCCATTTGCTTCAGTTGTTTCCAGGAATCCATCGATCTGGACAACTCCTCCAGTCGAAAAAGCCGTCCCGCCCCCGAAACATGGGTTGATGCACAAACCGCCCAGCCGCATTTCCTGTGGGGGAAAGGCAGCCTGTGCACTTCCCAAATTTGGCGGGAGGCCCAGGTTCTGTGGCAAATACTGAACGGGACAGGGGACTCAGTAAGTGGTTCGTAAGCCTGGTTACAACAGACTTAGGAGACTTATAGCCATGGTAAGCGGGTTATAACCAGGCTAACTGACCACTTACTAAGTCCCCTACCCCTTTAAGTAGGGAACAAATCCCTGGCCCGAGGCTTCCCATTCGCCTGCAGCAGCACGCCCAGCTTCGTCGCCCCTTTCCGCCGCTGCCTGCGAGTCTCCGCCTCCGCCTCCGCTGCCCGCTGCGCCGCCGCCGCTGCCGCACTCTTTGCGGCCGCGTTCTTCGCGGCGGTGGCTTTGGCCCGGCCTCCCAGCGGAGGGGGCCCTGGATGCTGCATCCCTTCCCTGAATCTGCAACCCGTGGGAGGCCACAAGGGAACTACGTGGAACTACCGTGTGGCATAAGGATTGAGGATTGATGATTAATCTGAAACAAGGCAAACAACAAGCATAGGAGGCTTGGAGCTGAATAGAACAAACTATGCTTGACGGACAGCAACTCTGGACAAGCCACTGTATGTCAGGCTGTGCGTTTGACTTTGCTGTCTCCCCTCCAAGGAAGTGAAAGCGCAAGCTGTTTCAGACCCTTCCAACGGAGTCTAGGTTAATTCAATAAAGGTCAGCTTTGGAGGAGCAAGCAGCTCACTCGAAGGCAACAACTCCCAGGAAATGCAGTAAACACACATATATCCCTATATATATATACACATGCAAATTATACTACATGTCTCGTAAGTTTATGATAAGAGCCTAACTTGCGCAGCATGATCAAGAGGCTCCTCGGTGCCTGCCCGTAGTTTGCCAACTCAGGCCCTTGAAGGCACCCAGAGAGGCTTTCGGTTTGGCGGCGCTTCCAGTGAAAAAGTCGGCTACCGTTGTTGGTTTCTTTTTTTTGTTTTCTTCGGACAGCAAAGTGGTACAAAACACTGACCACATGTTCGGCGGTGACAAAAAAGAGAATCTGTAATGAGGATACCAAAGGACGAAAAGGTCACTTGGTTTGGACTGCTAAGAATCTAGTTGCCGACCCGCTGTCGAAAGGGCACTGCCACTGCCGTTGCTGGCCATCAAAACAAACCTCGACCCAACTCGCACCCAGCACGGCGTTTGCAATGTCTTGTCCTACCCGGGTCCCAATACGTCCCAACACCACCCATAAACGTAGGACTCCTTGGCGAGTGCAATTGTTTAGGGCAGGCCAGGCTCGTGATAAGTTCTAACCCTGCCTGCGACGCCAACGTGATTCCATACAATCCCAGGTCCTCCAGTAGAGAGTTTAGAATAATAGCCAACTCTCCCCCAAAAAAGGTGTAAAAGGGCACGACTGGGGGACCTAGAATCACTTTGTCACTTTCAAGGGGTTGTGCTGGCAACAAAAAAAGCGAGCTGGCCCACTGCTGGTTTGTCAGATGCCATTGGCCCTTCCATGGCGTACCAGGGTTCCCGTTTCGAACATGTCGCCAGAAGCAAACTAAAGCTCACTTCAATTCCGGCTGGGGCCCCCCTGTTTTGACCATACACCGCGATCTGAACTAAAAAGCAAAGGGCTGGTTGCGCAACCCTGGAGCGGAGATGCTCCCCCCAAAATTGGGATCTGCGGCTGGGTTTGCCAAGGAAACCCAACGCGGATGATTTCCCGTTTCGCTTCACCCAAAAAACAACTTAGCGTTCTCACCGTCGATGCGTCATTTGGGTGGGATCAAGGGGTGGTTTTCAAGTTGCAAGGGGTGGTCCCACCCAGCACACACGACCCCCCTTGACGGTGCCCCTTGCCTTCTGCCGCTCGCTCTCTCATCGCTTGAGCTTCACGCTCTGCCTCATGTCTGGCCTCGCACAAACCAGGAGCACCATGTGTTCTGATTGGAGGCAACAGGACATGAGATTAGGACATGTATAAAGAGAGCGCCCCGCGTCTCATCCCATCCACTATCATGGGACCTGACGGAGGAGGCGCTTCTTGAAAATGATTTCCTAAACGGGAACCTCTGCCGTTTGTGGACGGGAGGGTAATGGATATATGCAATGTTTGCTGTACGTCAATTGGGGGATGGGTACGGACCGAATTGGATGTAGAGGGGCCAGGATAAACATGCAGCATTTCCGTTCCCAAGTTGACGTACGCGTGTTCTCAATCTCGAACATGTCCTTGGACAGCCAACATAAAATCAAGCATAGCACCAAAGCCCACTTGAAGCGAACTTTCAATTTGCAAACAAGCCCTCAGAACAAAATGAGATAATATTTCCAGTATATAGTGATAGATGTTCTTTAAAACCAAGAGGGAATGCAATCATATTCCGAATAGAAAAGGCAGGATCGTTGGTTTTCCTTGATGCTCCAGGCCCTGTGAGGCCCTTGGACAAAGCCTTTCCAGAGAACCAGTTGGCTTCCGATTTAGCGAGGCCGTGATCTATTTAAGGTGTGGGTCAAAACCAATGGGATCCCATTTTGGGGTAATTAGGTGAATTCACCACCCATTTTACAACCTATTTTAGTGGTTGGATTGGGATGTTCACTGCGGGTCTCGGCCAATTCTCAACATCAAAGTTCTCAGGTCTAGATGGTCCCAGTGAATCAACCGCACGAGCCCCGAGCACTGAAACCTTTGCAAGGGTAACCCGTGGCAAGCCTGGGAATGCGCAATCTCCAAACGCACCGCATGCGGCATACCCGATATACCAAAACCTATATATATATATATATACTTCCCATTGTCTTAGATCAACAAGTGTATTCACACAGGATTCTGACCAACCTGGCAAAAAACCTCGGAGCTTCCCCTTCGGGACCCTGCGGATGGCAATAGGAAGCCGAAGAGACACAAGGGATAAAACAGCAATTGTCCATGGTGGCAGGAAGCCCGTGACGGACCATTGCTTTTCCACTTGTCCAAGAGGCTTGAACTCGCGGTACATCAGCAAGCATGTTGTTCTTTAAAGGCCCCAAACATAAGCGTGCCCCAAACATGCGAGAAAAACACAATTATTATAGATCATGTGTCAATCATAGAGAACAAATGTTCAACTCAGCTGCTGGAGCCACAACTTAAACTGGTCTACAGGGTCCAATTTGACAAAAACACATCTCAGTGTTAGCTGTCCCTCACGGTTCAAAGGAAATGGAAAGAACAGGTGGTCGCATTCTGGCGACTTGATCTAAAACATGGTCGCGAAAAAGGTAATCCACAAGGTCGAGCCTGGCCGATCTGTTGACAAGTGAATGCTTGCATCATGCCAACAAACATCTTACTGCTAGACGCCCAAAGGCGTCATCCAAAGCACAAAATGGGACATATCATGGGTGTGCCTTTTTGCAAGGATGCTCATTTTTGGGTCGCTGTCAAGGGAGACCAACAAAATACTGTGGATGCACGAAATCCTAGGAATACTTTTGGAATGATGATTCCCTGTAAATACCAACCAACAATGGCTGCTCCTGGTTTCCTAGTCTAGGTCCTGCACTAGAGAGGATGGAATAAGGGTACCCTGTTTTTCTGTAGTCTATTTTATTAGGGGAAGCCTCCGCCGTAAAAGGGCACTACTGGGGGACCTGGTAGTGGTGCGAATTGGATCTCGTCCATCTTGCCCCGCCTTGTCCGCTTCCTCTTCCAGCTGTGCCGCGGCCTGCGCCAGGTCCGGCTGCTGCGCTTTTCGCCCTGCAAGGCATCCCTCTCTGAGTCGCAGGTTGGGGCCCCAAGCGTTTGGGCCATCTGAAAAGGTCTGGCGGAGTCATGTTGACCCCGGATTCATAAACCCCTGGTTGATTGATAGGGGGGTGTCCCCTGTTAGTGGGGATTCAGACCACTTTTGGAGGGAACACCCCCCTGATAATGGGACGGGGTGATTAATCCTGGGTCAACAGTATGCCACAGATTCCGAACCAACGACTCTGAAGCGAGCACCTTCCCTCCACCTGACCCTAATGCAATTTCGCCTGCTCCAAACGTTCAACTTATGTTGGCTCCAGCCGCCAAACACAAAGAACACGACATAAGACTCCAGACGATCGCACGTCTGGTTTCAAACCAATCAGTTACCACGCCCTTCAAAAACGGCATACATGTGTCCTGCTTCTTGCCCATCTGTTCATGTAGCAGCCCTGTTTAAAGGACCGCAGCCCCTTTTCATCCCCACGTCCTCTCCCTGGGTCTCACTGAACCGAACCCGACCTGTCCTCACTTGCCCAAAGCACTTGGCAATAATTGGTGGCCATCCTTGGTGGACCTTGACTCATTTTTTCAGCATGGTCTCCAAAATCGGCAAAAGGTCAAAACCGGTTGACTTACTTTGGTAGTGCGGCGTGCACATGCGTGCAACAGATATGGAAGCGTGTCCAGAGAATCCGTTTTCCAGCTCAAGAGGCATCTTAGGGTCACCTTCCAAAAGGCAAAGTGCAAGTCTCTTGTTGCCCACAAAAGCCGCCGATGGGACTTCCGATTCCCAAAAGGTGAAATCGACTCACGCGTTCGGAACCGCCGCCTTCCGCTCGGAGTTCGATCGACTGCCGCGAGGCCTCGGGTATGCTTGGTTGACGTTCGAAGGGGAGCAACGAATTAAATTTCAGCTCTTAGGATTTCGAAGTCACTAAACCGCAAAAAGCAGAACTGTAAAATGTGTCCCAACAACCATGTACAGGGTGTGGCTCAAAATTAAAGAGCTACGGTGCAGCTGGTCTTTGGTTCCAGTGGTGCCATTTTGGCACATGCTTCTGAGCCACAGCCATAGGTTTCGAAGGCAAAGAGGCTAGATACTCATCTCTGCGACATATTCTTCAACCCGAAATAAAAGAAATGCCCCAACGGAACTTTCGTTGCGGGTAGCACACCAAAGCGGTTCCGGGCTCCGAGTTCAAAGGTCCAACTCGATGCACTTTGGGAGTTTAACTCAACTCGGTGCCCCCCGCCATAGGCAACTCGGATATTCCACTAGGCGTGGCATGATGGCCTCCCGGGCTTACAACGGCAACCGGAGGTACCGGAGTATTCCAGCAGGGCAGGGTTACCGCTTGAAACCTTTGGGCAGCTCAACTTACATGACCGGGGGAATAGGTGATGTTGAAAACGACCAAGGGACAGTGACATCAAGGGAGCCCTGTCGAGCCTGACCCGAACCCCACGGAATCGCCTGGCGCTTCACCTGGCGGTTCACCGGCGTCGGGCGAGGCTTGGGCTTTGCCACACCTGGCAGAAGTTGCTGAGTTCGTCACAACGAAGAACTTAGACGTGCATCCCAAAAACCCTGAACTCAGAAGCCCCAAAACCTGAACCAACAGAATGATCCAAGTAGCGGACCCACAAACCTAGTGAGCTTGAAAAAATACCTCCGAATCACTCAGGGAAAACTTTGCCCAGACTTCGTGGGGCAAAGTTCGAAAGTTGGGTTCCAAATGGTTCTATGTCAATTTTTGAAATCTGAGTGCGCCCTGAGCAGATATCAAGAATCCAAAAGATCCAAGGGGCTAAGGATCCAATGGGACTCTTACACTGACCTTAACACCAACCGGTGCGGTGTAAACGTCTTCTTAAGCTACTGAAAGACATGGGAAAATCAAGCCTGCAAGCCCAGGACATGGTCTCACAGGTCTTTTGTCAAAGCGGGATTCAACACGATTGAAAGTTCGTTGGTGTCCCTGTGCCTTTCCTTGGGTTTTTTTGGCTTCTCAAAATATTATTTTCTCAAAATGGTTGGTGTCCTATGGCTTCCCTTTGCCAAAAGGGGTTCATGTTCAGAGACACCCCAAATTGGTTATATAAATCATTGGACTGCGGGGGTGGGCTACCATTCAACCAAAGCGAAGTCATGGCCAGGGAAAATAATGATGTAATTACTCACTTCCCGAGCGGATTGGCCACACAAAGCCCAGGAATGCTTCATTTACCTCGCTCGTCTTCCCAAGTGTCAAGTCCGGCACCTCTTGTGTGCGATTGCTCTGGCCTGGAGGGCGTGACCACAGCAACCGCGCAGGACCCATGACACCGTGCCACCCTTGCAAAGGCAAAGGACAAATATCGCCTGCAAAGGAAAAGTCTAAAGTCCAGTCAGTGAGTCAAGAATTGTTCCCCCGGCGTTCGCCTCTGAAGTTGGACGTCCGCCCAGATCCATCAGCTCCGTCGCCAGAGTCACGGGAATTTCGGGAGTCTCGCGAGGTCTCCCGCGCCAAAGAGCGCTGCCTGTGCCGAACCTGGCGTTGCGGCTGCACTGCAAGTGACATCCTCGAAATGGCCCAGGGAAATTGTGGTTGAAGGGGACACCACCCAAAAGAAATAATTTCGAGAATCCATCACGAAGGAGGGGTTTAAACGGACGTGCTTCCCAAGATGTGGCGCACCATGAGGCCGAAAGCCAACAAAGGATCGCCGCTCTTTGCAGGTCAGCGGAAAATTGGTATATGTTGATTGCTTCGAACTCGACGCAAGCCGGAGCAAAGCTTCAAAAAGGGTCTTAAACTGCAACCAATAACAATACAAAGGACAAACCATCCATTCAAACGTTGCTCACAAAGGAGACCATGGCACCAGAGTAGACTGTATGAAGAAAAGCAGAAGGAGCCACACCAATTGTCCGCCCTGGAAATATCCTCGTTTTGTAGCTCGCCGGATTCTCAACATCGGATTTCCCCTACAACGGCAACGATGTCCTTCAGTTCCCGTTCAAACATTAAAACAAGTGCATCTCGGTCTTCCTTTTGGCTGCCCCTATAACAAGAGGGATACCGAGCCTCAACAAAAAGGAAACGACCCCTCCATTTTTTTTAGGGGTTGATTCCCCATTCTGTTCAACCATCGTTATTTTTAAACAACAGCCATTTTCCCTGGGTTTCCGGAGGTTTTCTACAAAGGATCCTTGGCACCCCTCTTGTAGCTGCTTTTACAGGGAAGCGAAAAGGAACACCGAATTTCCTTTTGGGGAACCCGACCTTAACAAAGACGCGCCCATGTTGAGACAACGGTGGCCCGTGTCCGCGACTTGCAGCCTCCATCCGCAGCGCCGGGTCGAGTGCGGGAGGCAAAGGCCGGGTGAGCGCAACCGGGGCCCGGCTGGCAGCCAGGGCCTTCGCCGAGCGAAACTTGGCCGGGCGAATGATCCGTTGGGCCCAGAAAGAAGTCAAACTTTTTACTAGCCAAACTTTTTAATGAAAGACTCACTTCCGTTGAACCCAAAAACAAAGGTAAACCAAACTCTTTCGTTGCCACCAAGTTAGTTGGTCCAAAAAGTGACTGAAGTCCAACTAAGAGAGTGAGAAGAGGGCTTGGAATGAACCCATTGAGATCCAGGGATGCTGAGAATCCTACGAGGACAGGGATGGATCAGTTGAGGCATTCCCTGCCGGAGGCTAGCAAAACCGGGAGCAAAAAGCCATTGCTTGAAACATGTTGAAGCAAATGCCGACACTACTTCCTTTTAGTTTCCCTTTAACAGGGACCAAGGCCTTGCTTAACAACCCCTACCATGAAAGCAAGAGGTGCGTTACAACCCCGCTACTGAACATGCATGCAGAGGCACAAAGGGTAAAGCCCGGAAATTGCCATAGTTTGCCATGGGCCAACAGGTCGAGCAAAGTTCCTAAACAAGCACCTCAAATTCAAAGCTTGGTCAGGAAATCCTCCAGAACCAGCACACGGGGACCAAGGAAAGAGAAGGTGATCACCTTTTGGGCTTCAGAGCATTTGGACATTATATCAACCGCCCTTCGACGACTTTCCTCGCAATAATTAGCTGGAAAACATGATGGTGAAGTCAGGGAGGGCCTCCCAAACCTGACTTAAACATGGCTTGGAACCAAACGATGCATTTGCGAAGGGATATATTGGAAGCACGCACCTGCATTACTTGTGCGACCACATCCCTCTAACATTTAGACTTCCGTGCCAAAACAAACTGAAGGTTGGATTTATAGAGTCCCTTGCCCCATGCCCCCTCTCTGTGAACCAAGCAAAGGTCTACAACCGATTTCAAGTCAGTCTTCGGTTTCACGTGTGGTTCCTTGTGATGGTGCCCTTCGGGCGGTGTTTTTGGAGGGGCCGCAACCGGAAAACCGAAATCCAATTGAACTCCAGCTCAGGTCCTTCGTGGCTTCCCGGCGCCGCTCGGCTAAAAGGTTCAACGCCACGTCCACGTCCGCCGCCAGCTGCGGGTCGGCAGCGGCGCTCGTTCGCACATCCTGCGAAGAGGGCAACCACACCATCTTAAGTGCAGCCAATTGCCAAAATTGGTTTGGACGTTTCCAAGAAAAATCATGGTGGGCACATGGGTTCCATATGCTGACTGTTTAATTGTTCACCATAGCTTATCACGTGCAAAGTGCCTGTTTGTCTAAAGGGTTCGCTTTGTTGGCCAAACTCTTCTGCGCCCAAGAACTTTGGGCCCATACATAGAATTTGACTGTTTCTACAAACTAATGCCAGAACTGGCATTGCTTCCCTTTCACCATCCCACTGGGGTGACTCCCCCCACCCTTTCGGCTTTTCATCACTCTCCCAAGACCCGGTCACAAGGGTGGAGATTTGGCCTCTGAAAAGGCTTCAATCCTTGTGCTTGAGCATGAGGCTGCTCGGAACAAGCTTTTGGAGCGGACACGCGCCCCCCGTGCCCCTGCAACAACCGACACACTGCACCGCACCGCACGCCGCACGCCGCACGCCGCACGCCGCACGCCGCACGCCGCACGCCGCACGCCGCACGCCGCACGCCGCACGCAGCACGCCGCACGCCGCACGCCCGCACGCCGCACGCCCGCACGCCCGCACGCCCGCACGCCGCACGCCGCACGCGCACGCCGACGCACGCCGCACACACGGCACGCCGCACGCCGCACGCCGCACGCCGCACGCCGCACGCCGCACGCCGCACGCCGCACACGCGCACGCCGCACGCCGCACGCCGCACGCCGCACGCCGCACGCCGCACGCCGCACGCCGCACGCCGCACGCCGCACGCCGCACGCCGCACACCGCACACCGCACACCGCACACCGCACACTGCACACCGCACACCGCACACCGCACACCGCACACCGCACACCGCACACCGCACACCGCACACCGCACAACGCACAACGCACAACGCAACAACGCAACAACACAACAACGCAACAACACACAACACACAACAACAGCCCACCGCAGCCCAGCCCAGCCCAGCCCAGCCCAGCCCAGCCCAGCCCAGCCCAGCCCAGCCCAGCCCAGCCCAGCCCAGCCCAGCCCAGCCCAGTCCAGCCCAGCCCAGCCCAGCCCAGCCCAGCCCAGCCCAGCCCAGCCCAGCCCAGCCCAGCCCAGCCCAGCCCAGCCCAGCCCAGCCCAGCCCAGCCCACCCCACCCCACCCCACCCCACCCCACCCCACCCCACCCACCCACCCACCCCAACACACAACACATGTTTCACCTGGGGCTCCTTGAGTCGCCCCTCCACCGTGCGGTAGGCGCTGCACTTGGCGCTGGAGGGTCGCTCGGGCTTCGGCGGCGCCAGAACCTGGCAGTGCCAGCCGTCCCTCCGGCGCCCGGCGCGAGCGAGCGCCTCTGGACGCGCCAAGGCGCTGACCAACTGGATGGTAAGACGTCTTTTGATCCAGGACTGCCAGTTGCTTCAGTCCCCCTGCAACCAAAAAAAAAAAACACAAAAACAAAGTATTGCTAGATTTTCCCTTGGACAACCAGGGGGACATGTTGAAACAGATTCTGTTCGGCAAATGCAAGACCGCCCCACTCAGTGCCTCAGCACGCGGCGCCGAGCGGATTTGAGCAGCCTCCTCCTGCTGCTTGGAGGGACCAAACCAATGTAGACCATGGGCAACCCCTCTCTGCACCGAAGGTCAGGGTTCTCATGGTTCCCACCCAAACATTGCATCATTTCAAGATATTTCAAGCGGGAGAACCCTTCAAATGGCCATGGGCAACTGCAAATGCTGATCCAAACAGGACCTTTGCGCGGACACCGTGTGGGGCGCCCACTCCCAGTCTGATGCTCCGAGCCCATGGCTGTTTGTCCTACTATAATCTAGGTGTTTTCTCCTCCTATCACCAGCCCACACATTGTGATACATGAATTGCAGCCTAGTTAGAACGCTACACATCGGCGGCAACCTAGCTGCTTCATATCTTAGGTTACGCTATGCATGCTACAACAGAGCATGCCCAAGAATATGACATCAAGCGTTGAAATATGTTGCCGTATTCCCTTTTAAGCCAGATGGAAACCCTGTTCCCCTATTTCAAGATTGCACTATCGCAAGATGGAGATGACTGAGGAGGGTTGGGAGTTGACTCGCCATTTGGCGAGACAGGTTTTGATGAAACTATTTGCATCGCATGTGATGGGAATGGGGATGAGCCTTTGGCTCAATAATTCCTTGGAACCATTTTAGGTAAACATTACCCAGTAGTCAGCCCAGTTGATTACTCCGCATCCTCACCCCCATCCCCCTCCCCCATCATTTCCCTTGTACCTAGGTGCATGGGGAAAAATGTGGGGAAGGATGACGCGGTCTTAAAGGATGTACCCCCCATGAATTCCTCGGTTACTTTCTGCTCCCCTGCTAAAAGTTTAACTTTTAGTCGTTTAATGGAAAACCCAGTAATTGGCAAAAAGTTAAGGTCCTAACATCCAAGCAACACGTACCAAAGATTCCTCGGGTTAACATTGCGTCCTCTGCCGCTGCCTTGCGTTTCTGTCCTCGTGCCGGAGCCAAGACGAGAGCAGCAGCCGCGCCTCCGTCTGCACGTCCAGATCCATCCCCGGCCATTGCCACCCCAGTGGCCGTTGGACGCGCGAGAACTCGTGCTTCCAGCAACGCCACTAAAAAGTATTAGAGGATGTAGGTTGAAAGTCTTACATGATGTTCAAGCTTCCCTGTTGCCCAGGGCATCTATGATGGGACGCACTGAGTTTTGCGTTGTCTTCCGCAATTGGAAGATTGGGTTTTTGTAGAACAGGGAGTTCTAGGGTTTAGGGTAACACTTAACTAAACAGGGAGGTTTTGTGCAGCTTGCCAGTGGGATTAAAAGGGTGGCATGATTCGAGCGTGGCCAACAAAAAGTGCCAAGAAAAGCTTTGCGCCTGGCAGACTTGCCGTCTGATGCCTTTGGGATATGCGCTGTGCATCTGCGGCTTGCTGACCGTGCTGCGCCGGACCAGCGGCTCCAAGTGCATTGGGAGGGTCCATGACACACATGCCAGCATGGATTCTAGGGCAACTTCCTACTGTGGATTGCTGGACACCATTGTTTGTTGGTATTTACATGGGATTCAGACCATTGCAGGCTTGTTGGGTGGTGCGAAACGGAAATTTGGTCCATCCACAGTATGAGTGGGGCCACGTTCATGCGCGAGAAGTTGTACCATGGCACCTTTCTCATGGGTGAGGCCACGAGGAGGGAAGCATAGGCATGACATGAAAGCCGGTTGATTGGGGAGGAACCATTTCTGTCCGAAGCGGGAAGGCTACATGGAAGCACGGGACCCAAAATCCTCATCGCCCTCCTGAGGTGTGGAAAGGGGATCTTGGGATGCCATCCCCCGGCAACCCTAGGTCCTCCAGTAGAGAGCAACCTTTTCCTGTAGTCTATTTTCGTAGGGGAACCCTCCCAACCAAAAAAGAAGCGGTAAAAGGGCACCTAGCTCCCAAGTAGGCAGAAGGTGTTTTCCTGGGCCAACCCACCGGTTCTCTCGGCCTATGCTTCCGCCCAAGGCAGCGCCATAGCTGATGCAGAAGCAGATGATGAAAAAGCTGAAGGCGCTGGAGCGGGCAGACTCCGGCGGCATGTTCGCCTAGCGAACGGTGGGAGGGGGAGATCCGTGGACTTAAACGTAGTGTGGGTGGACGAAATCCATTTCGCACCACTTTGAAGACATAGCAAACCACTGATGGTTGGTATTTACAGGGAATCAGACCATTCCAGGGTGTTTTAGGTGGTGCAGGATTTCGTCCATCCACAGTATCATAGGGCACCTTGACTGATGTGCACTGGCTCCCAGTATAATTAGGGCATGCGGATTTTTACTTAGGTACTTATCTTCTACAGGTAGACTGTTGCCCCGTTGTTGTTGCCAAGGCAATCCCCAAGAACCATGGGCCTCGTGGATAGCACGTGCGAAAGGGCTGGATACAGGGCTTAAGAACCAAGGAACCGGAACCGGTTCCTGTCCCAGGTCCTCCAGAAGGGCACCATTTTGTCTGTAGTCTATTTTAGCCCTCCCAACCAAAAAAGAAGAAGCGGTCAAAGGGCACTACTGGGGGACCTAGTTTCATTGCCTTTCTGAAATCAGCCCAGTCAGCTTGCCCCCGATGCTTTGGATTGGTAGTTTGGGCTTTGGGGATAGTTTTCCCATTTACCCTCTCCAAGAACCGGGAATTCAAATCCGCAAGCCTCCAGTCCAAATCGCCACTTGAAAAAGGAGGGTCCAACTAAATAACACGAAACAGCCAAGCTTTACCTCTCACTGCAGCAAACTCGCCGCGCAGAATGCTTTGATTTCGACTCCAGATCTAGTCCTCAAGTGTGCAACGCCCCTTCCGACAAAGGGATCCATTTGTGACCCCCAAAGCAAACAAAAATGGTGTGTGGGATGCCTAGGATGCAGGCAGTACCGGTCTGCTTCGGGTTGGTCACAGAATCCTTTTACACACCATATTCCCAACTGCTTCCACACTGGGTCTGCAAACTTTTCGCCGACACGCTCCATCAGAATTGGCCCCTGTGCAAAAGGATGCATCTGCTTGCTTCACCGCTAGCCTATCACTATCACGTAAGTTCATGGATTCCTGGGGAAGTCTATGCGGAGGCCATCCCTGGATAAGACCTCAGCTCTTAAGGCCAGTGACCTCTAATAGCCTAACCTCACTTGCACGCAAGACCGGGAAATCAAGGGTCACTGGATTCATCATCAACTCCATGTGGTTTCGACTGAAACTGCCACTTTCGAAGCTCCAAAAAAGGGAAATGGAGAGATTGTCCACGTTGCTATGCAGGGCTGTGGGGAATGGAATCCACTTCTGTGATACAACAGAAAGGGCTTCCCAAAGATTATTTTCTTCATATAAAGGGGGATTCCCTTGTATCACAGAAGTGGGGAGAAACCCCTTGATCCCACAACCCTGTTGCTATGGAACCCGACGTATCGGGGTCCTGGAAAAAAGCTATTGAGGGCAAGCTGTAAACTGCTTGCGAGTCACTCCAAGATTGATCCTGCCAAAAGTTCAAAGTGACATTTGGAGGTTTTGTAAATTGCAGCCACGGACCTCCGAAAACACCCTGGAAATGAAGAATTCCAAGCAAGGTCAAACAGCCAATCACAGCCAAACGCCTTCCACACTCAAGCATCCCAGGTCCTTATAGGGGTCATGACATTTGCCAAAGCACGTGCAGGGAACCTGGTCATCTGACAAGGAACAGCTAAGACCAACTGGTGTCTCCGGACGCCTGTCAAAAGCCATCACTTATAGGCTCTTTCCCTGAGTTGGCCAAAACAAGATCCCGGCTTGATGCTTCGCCATCCAAAAAGCATAGTGGGAAGTTCGGATTGAAAGTCTGTCCCGTTAACAGGGGGCGTCCCCTTTAGTCTCTCTATCGTGGGTGACGCCTCTCTATTAATAGAATGGGTTCATTCATCTGGAGTCCTCACTAATTCACCAACGTCCAAGAACTCATTTCCCGAACCAGACCCGTACTCCCTGCATCCTAGGAATTCCACACACCATATTCGAAGTCTTTGGTGATCACACATGGGTCCCTTCGTCCATTTCTGGTCTTCTTCCCCCAAACTCCTGTCCGGACATATCCAAACATCTAGTGACGTGCGCCCAAACCGAACTCACAATGCCGACCCACCATGGACCAACAAAAAAAGCGAACCAACCGCTCCATCCCACACACCATATTTGCATTCTTTGGTCACACATGGATCCCTTGGTCCATTTCCGGCTGGTCTAAAAACACCATCTTCCATTTGCTTGAGCCCCCTCAAAAAAAATATGTCCAATAGTGACAGATTCCCTTTAACACCAACAGGGCACAATTAAACATATATATATATTCTCACATCAACAACTGGAAGTTCCATCGCTGGATGTTCAAGCGGCGATGGCGTCGCGGATCAGCTTCTCGTCCTTGTTCATGGGCTCGCTGGGGTTCCCGCACCGCGCGCTCCGCGAGGAGGTGGACTTGCCCAAGAGGTGCTCTTCCTAAGGCGCAGGGCTTGGCGTTTCATGCCGAACTCTCGCGTGCCGAGTGGACGGCCCCCAAAAAAGCCCGAACTTTGTATTTACCACTAATATGGTCTTCCCAAAAAGTTGAAATTTCATGAGTGAGAACTAGGTGGCTCCTAAAATGAGATGAGTCAAAACCCGGTAATAAAATGGTCTACCCAGAACCATGTATAGAATTACGAAGGCGGATATCCGCAGCAAATTTATGGTTGGGATTGTCCCTGACTATCCGTCATCTACCCGGGTTAGGTGGTTCTAGGGGTTGATTCCTTTTCCATTCTTTTCAACCATCGTTCTTTCCAAACACTGGATCCGTTTTCCCTGGGTTTGCGGAAGTTTTCTAGAAAGAAGGATCCCTGGAAAGAATGGAGAAAGTACCCCTAGAGAGGTGTTCGGTTTTCCCCTTGGCTTGCCTTTTGAACGACCCATCTTCAAAGCCATGAAGGGGACTACACGGGCGAATATTATGGTTGGGATTATCCCTCGACCTTCACTCACCTGGATATTCATTTTGGCTCAATTGGGCTAGGCGTTGAACAGGGGCGTCTGGACAACGCGAAACTTGTGGCTACTTAGCACGCCCGGACCACAGATCTTCTTGGAATGTGTGTGTGTGTGTGTGTTTTGTCCCACGCCCTTCGAGTTTCTTGACAAGCTTGGCAGCCTGATTAGCAGCACTCCCACAAGTCCATGTTTAGGACATGAAATGGCACCTCACGAGCTAGCCAAGTGTAATAGGACCGTTTCTGGCGCTGAAACGATATCCCCCGACACGAACTGGTGAGCGTCCCAACTGACATACTAATTACCATGCATATGCACATGCCATGTGCTTTGTGCTGGCCAGGCAAGACAAACGAGACATGCAAAAGTGGCCGGTTGGCTGTGAAGGGATGACATGGACCCGACATTTGAGGCTTTGAGGCGCTGCAGGGCTCCAGAGTTCACTTCAGGAGACGGATGTCCGAAGTGATATGTTCCCCCAACAAGGCAAAGGCAAGAAGCAAAGCATGTTTTCTTGTTGTTCATGTAGGGTCTTTCCAGAAGCAGAAGCACATCACGCCGTTGTTTTTTCTTTTTCATGTAGGGTTTCCTCAGAGGCAATCGGGTTCGAAGTTGGGACAGAGCTGGCACTCGCCTTGCTGTGAGAGACGACTCGCAGATCCAAGGCGCAACGGAGAATCAAGACTTACTGTGATGGTTGCGAGGTCCTCTTAGGCACCGTTCAGAAACCCTTTTTGTCTGATGATTCCCCAACGTAAATACCAACGAGCGTTATGGCTCCAACCATGGTTTTAATGTGGTTCGACATGGGTTTTGTCCATCCAAAGTATCAACGAGCCGACCGGCGGAACGAAGCAAGCAGCTTCGAGCTTGGGACTGTTCCGAAGAATCCTGGCCTTGCTTGTAGCTTGCGGGTTGGGTTGAAATAAAAGGTTAACCTTTTGGGACCTCTACCAAAAATAGACCAAAAAGGGAAAACCAAAAGGTTAAAAGGTCGGCTTTGGACAACTGAGAAAATGGTTTGATGTCCGATTGGTTTCCTTTTTGATACGGACACTCAGCGGTCCCGCCCACGCTCCCGCCCACTAACATGGAACCCGTTTCGGGATGGGTGACTCCTTTCCCAGAGGGACCTTGGTGGGTTCCATGTTAATGCCGCGCTCATATTAACCAACCCCAGTTTCTTACTAGGGGCCGTGTTCCCCTCCAAACGTGTTTTTTTTCTTCTTTCGGATTCCCCACATTTCACCCAGGGACACCCCCCTGTGAACAAAACCGAGGAACAGTGATGACATTTCCCTACTTACCCCTACAGTGATACTGTGAAATTTGGTACTTACAGTAGCACAACTTTTACCCCTATGAACACCCTCCCTTCCCCTATTTCACCCCCCTATGATTAAACGTTTTTTCAGATTCCCCACATTTCACCCAGGGACACCTCCCCATGAACAAAACAGGGGTTGATTAATACGGGCGCAACCTTGCATTCCATCTGGTGCCAAGCATCAGTCCTGCGCTCGTGAACAATCTTGATGGGCAGCCCCTCATCGGCGGCAACCTCACGACAGGGCGTGTACTTTCGGTGGCTAAGTCTCTGCTTTCATTTCAGGTCTTTAGTTTAGGCAATCCACACCCTATGCCGTTTCTGAGGGTACGGTACCCATGTGTGGTGGTTTGAAGGGGGGCAACCAGGAGGACCACTGGTTTTCAGGGTGCCCTACATGGTTGTTGTTGGGAAACATTTTACATTTTTGCTTATGGTGGTTTAGTGGGACATCCCCACTTAACTGCTAAAATTTATTTTTTTTGCTCCCCTTCCAACGTCAACCAAGCCCTAGAACGAGCGTCCCACCCATTCAACAGATTTCATTTGAACATCAAGAAACATGGCTTGCCTCAAGACTTGTAGGCCTTTCAAATGAAACTCTGCCAAAAAACAAGTTCGCCACAAGTGGACCAAGGTTGAAGAAAGCACAAAACCCCACGGCAAAGAGGCTTTGGGAAAGCCAGGTTGGCATGCCATCATGTGTGGCGGCGTTTGTCTCCTTGTCGCCATGTTTGTTTTCCTACTGTGGATGGACGAAATCCATTTCGCACCAACTTGAAACCATGGGAATCCAGTATTTGTTGGTATTTGCAGGGGTTGCTTGTGTGGTGCAGGATTTCGTCCATCCACAGTATGGCCAGTAGGCAAGTAGGACGATGCATGCTTCACGAGAGTGCGCCTTAGGCTTCAGGAAGCCTGAAAAGCCACTAGAACCGCCTGCTAAAGTGGTTGATGCGGGTGTTGGGCGCTGCTCACCGAAGGGCCCCGGAGCTGCAAGCAGGTGCGCCGCGGGAAACTGAAACTTCCCACCCCTGGTATACGAATGGCCATTCTTGCACTACTAACAGCTAACCCGCCAAACAGTAGATTGCGCAGAAACACAAGTCACTTTGACGCCCCGAAACAGTCAAGGCGACCCCAGTTAGCAACAAACATCAGATTTGCAACCCCAAAGATTGAAGAGAACATTCCCACCCCAGACTGGGAACGTGGCATTCATACAAAAGTGTTCACATCGACAAAGGAAAGACAATTCGGGCTTTTTGGCTGGGGGCAAGCTCCCTCACCTAATGGGGATAGCAAGGCAAGAGTAGTAAACAAGCCAACGGCAAGAAGCCTCAAGGAACAGCTCATCAACAAAAATGTGTGAAGAGCAACGCATCGGGGCGTCTATGCCTAAATGGATTAACCGCTTGCCTCTCGAAATGTATGCCTGGCATCCTGCAATGGTAAGTATGGCGTTGATGTGCTTGTCTACCGTTCGTGTACCCATTGTGTATGTGAGCCTTTGTGCCCTATTTGTTCAGCGCAACCATTTTGTAATTGGCTGCTTGGACTTCATGTTTTGTTGCGGGAAGTAACCCTTTCTGTGACACCTTTGCCAAAACAACATGCACTATTCCTCTGGATTCTGAAGGGCTTCCCTAGATGGCGCTTCCCAGCTTTCCGGGGCATAAGATTGAGACGGCGCTTGAAGGGGCCAGGGATTCTTCTATCAGCTTCCCCAAATTAGTGGCCCAAGAGCAATACTGCACAATTTACCTTGATGTCCAAGCTGCCCAAGAAGGGACAACTTCCAGCCGAACATGGAACTGCACCGGCCGCTTTTTCAAAAATACTTTACGCCCTGAGTTCGCCAAAGCCCTGGAAGCTTTCGTCAACTTCAGCTTCCGCTGAAAAGTTGGTCTCTTTGACCCTGGGCAAATTTGTTTTTCCTTTGGTTTCCCCTCGAAGCAAGCCCCAAAAGGGCACCCCCAAAAATAGCAAAAGAAAGTTGGTCCTTGACCCTGGGCAGTTTGTGTTTCCCTTTGGTTTCCCCCTGAAAACAAGCCTCAAAAAGGGCACCCAAAAAAGCAAGAAGAATCATATGTTTCCTGTGGTTTCCCCTTGAACCAAAACCCAAAAAGAAAAATAGAAAAGAAAAGAAAAACGCACCGGAGCCCTTTGGCCATCCCTTCCGGCCTTGATCTCCCAAATGCACCAAAGCCGGCTGTAGAGGCCCTGCCCGTTTGCCCTGAGCTGCTCGTTCGGGACCTGAGCGCTCTGGGCGAATTTTTCTGGAGGGCGAAACAAGACATTTTCTGGGGCTGGAGACTGGAGATAAAACAAATGGCAGGCGGTGGTTTTTTTAAGAGGTGTTCTACTAAAACCATAAAAAAGGGCACACCCCTCGTCAAAGTCAGCCAATGGCAAGGGAAGGTGTAAGGGAAACGACCCCCAGAAACCTAACTCTGATAATTTTTAGGAGCAATCTTCCATTTGCTTGAGTTCCCTGAAGAAACAACAATACTATTTCTCAATAGTGACAGATTCCCTTGCAAACCAACAGGAGAAAACAACACATGTTACGAAGCAAATGGAAGAAGCCAAGCAATGCCAGCGACATGCGGTCGCAAAGGCCCGCAGGAATTGGGGGTCTGGCAAAAGCCGTTCCGAGCGTGGCTTTGGGCGTATTGGTGGTGGGACAACAAAATCCACCTGCCTTAAAGGAACCAACACTCATGGCTTGAGTCGCCAGCTTCTTCAAAAAGATCTCTTAGTTCCAAGTTGGCTCAAGTTGACTCAAGATCCAAAGTCGCCCAGCTCGGATTTCTTTTCCCCGGTGCATGCGGACAGCGGACGCGCCCCCCCCCCCCGCTGCCCGAGAGGCCACCAGCAGCCGCTGGCAGGTGGGGCTGTTGATCACCTGCGTAAAGGGGCTCCGCCTCGGGGCTCTGGCGATCGCGCAGAAGGGGTACTTGAAGTGGCAGGGTACGTCAGGGAAGTGGTTGGCAAGCCTGGCTACAACCCACAAAAGCCATGGTTATAAGTCTCCTAAGTGGGATACAATGGTTATAACCACTTACTAAGTACCCTGCCCCTTTAAGTAGGGACCTTCCCACAGATCCGGTGGGTCAAAACCAATGGGATCCCATTTTGGGGTTTTCGGTGCACCACCCATTTTAGAACCTGTTTGAGTGGGGATTGGGATGTTCACTGGGGGTACGGGCTTTTGACCCATGGCCATATGGCTATGGGTCAAAACCCCACCCCGGGGTTTACACCCAGAAAGCCTTCGACCCATGTTTGGCTCCTTTGGTTTTGACCCACAACCTTATCTCCAGTGCAAATTTATGGGAAACCTCAATTTTGTCATCTTGGTCGTTGCTTAAGGGGAAATCCGAGAATCAGAAAATGCCACAAACCACTTTCCGGGGGTAGGAGTTTGGTTGGGTGAAGCTCTTCAGGCTGGGTGTGGACTAGGGAGCTTTCAGTTTCGATCATATCTTTTCGATTGCCGTTTTGAATTTCGAGGTCTCCCGCCATTGGAGCCGTGTGCAGGAGCCCTTTTGAAAGAGGATGCTCCTGTTGGAAGGAAAGTGTTTTCACTTCGATGTTCAATGTTCGTGGAACCTGGTACGCCCCTGAGCTTCAGAACTCTAAGAAGCTTACAACACCTGGCGCCTGTCTTGGCATGTTTGGAATGTTCCCCAATCTTGCCATGGGCGCATGCTCCTATATATTCTAGGTCCACTTTTCCACATGGGCCAACTTCACTCCAGTTGCCCTTTCTTGGGCCCAGAAAGAAACGAGTTCGGGGATCACCAAGGGGCCACGGAACATGGGCACACTAAAAGATGAAATGCGTCGATTCGCTTTGGCTACCAGTGACAAACCAGACTGAATCCTGGAAGATCTCAAGGAGGCCTCTTGTGAGAAAGGCCCCTTCCTGTGGACCAACCCTGTTCGGTATGTCATGAATTTCACAGAACATTGCTGTGGGTCAAAACCAATGGTACCAGTTTAAGGCAGGTGCACCGCCCATTTTCGTCTTCTTTCGTGGGGATTGGGATATTCACTGGGGGTACGATTTGGATTTTGACCCGTGGGCAAATGACCCTAAAACCCCCAGATGTTTGCGAAAAAGCCGTGCTTCTGAGGTTCTAGTGAAAAGGCTAGGCAAAGTTTCCTGAGATGGACCATGCTCGGGGAAAAGCGGCCACCGTCCAAGGGACCGGCACCGCAACTCGTGTCCAATAAGCTTCCTTTCTGGGGCAGTGTACTTCGTAAGCGGTTGGCAAGCCTGGATATAACCCACCTAGAAGACTTACAGCTATGGTAAGTGGGCTATAACCAGGCATACTAACCACTTACTACGTCCAGTGCCCCTGTAGCCTTTTGGGACGAAGGTGCCCACGTGGCAGCGAGATGTTGCTTCAATGTACGTCACCAAAAAGCAGCACGCATCCCAAAAGTGAAATCAGGCTGTAGTCACGTAGCGCGAACCCCAAAGTTGTTGAAGCTGGGGTCTACAAAGACTGGCAAGAAAGGCTTAGTCTGATAGTATACGGGCCTCACTTGGACCTGGCCAACAGTTGACGAATCCCATGCTAGTTTTCAGAAAGCGAGAAACAGTGACGACACGTTGTTGTTGTTTTTGCGGGGTGTTTCCTCTCCAAGGGACAGATCGCCACCGACGGGGACGCCTCCTAATCAATCAAGCAGAGGCTTCTCTGCACTGTACTACAACTCAAGCAAACCCCCCGAAATGTTCATGGGTGAGATGGTTTTCCCCGGGCGAGCTTGCCAGAATTAGTGCAAATTCATTTGGGTTTCAGAAAAAGTCTGAACATTTTATTCCCACGAAATCAGTGTTCCCAAGAACACCAAAAAGTCCAGGAAACTCAAGGTGTCAAACAAACCTGCAATCTGGCATGATAAGAATTGATCTTGAACACCCCAGCCGAATCTGAATCCAGTTCAACTTTGTCCCAGTTTCCGGAGCGCCACCCCGCTGATTTCACACTAATTTCAGCCCAGCGCACATGATGTCGTTGCCCAGCCTCGATTGAAACAGCCAACTTCTGTGCCTGCCCCTGACTTCGCAACCCCCTAGTACCGCAACCAAAGAAACAAACCGGACCGCGGACTGTCCTTTGCCTCCATTTGCTTACGCCCCTGGCAAAAATAACATATGTCCAATAGTGAAATCGGTTCCCTTTAAAACCAACAGGGAAAGCTAGAAAATCATCGTTTCAGCAAACGGACGTGTGCACGCCAAGAGAAGCAACCAAAAGCAAGGCAAAGCAAGGCACCTATGCGCCTGGCACTGGGCATGTGTCAAGACTTGGGGCGATC